GAGTGTGTGTGTGTGTGTGTGTGTGTGTGTGAGAGAGACATGGAGACATGAGGAACACAGACACATCAACTGCAGCACCGTCAGCCAGAGCCGCAGCCAATCACGGGCCTGCTTTCACGTGACGTCACTGCATTGTATTCTAAATTCATAAATCATCTTGATCTCTGGCTCTGTGTGCCGCACTGGCTGCTGCTCATCGCGTCCTGAATGTAAAGTGTGTCCTCTGCTCTGCTCTAGAGCACTGATGTCTGTCTGAGGTGCTCCTGCTGTCTCGCTGCTCTCTCATCCTGACCTCACTGAGACGATCAGAGCAGTAATGCAGACTACAGTACGGCTGTCAGGAGCATTACGCGTGCCGAACCAAGGTTAATGGTTGGCTGCTGTAATGCTCACACATCTCTAATGTTGACTCCATCGCAAGAGGGAGACAGTCGCCTTGGTAACAGCAGGATCCGTCCAGCTTCAGCACCAGCTGCAGAGCATCCATCAGTCCTCCAGTGATCCTGCAACATATCAGTAGTCGCCTATAAATGTTACATATTTCTTTAGTTTTAATTAAATGAAACCTAACATGTGATCTAGTGCCATATCTGAGGTCTCAGAGACTGAGATGAGGCCTTCAGCTCCAGATGTTCCTCGCGCATCTGCAGGAATAACATGCGCATCGTTCTGGAATTCTGAAGAACTGAGGTTTCTGACGCCAAACTAAAGCGAGATCGAAGAGTCTCGCAGCAACAAGCGGCCCCGCAGACAGACAGACAGACAGACAGACGAGAACCTCCATCTGCTGGAACCCGACACCGAGCAGAAAGACGGAATAGAATCAGATGCTCGCTTTCCTCCGGCGTGCGTCCATCAGCCGTTCCTTCAGCGCCGTGAGAGGAGCAGCGCTCGTGCGTTCGGTGTTCATCCGTCGTGATTCGGGTTTTTTTCTCACTTGTGCATGCGGTTGATGGCGCGGGTGGGCTGCGAATCGGGCACCGGGTGTGATGTGACCGGTTCGGCGGACGGGAGAACCGCAGGGCTGCTGTGGAGCGTCGCGTGATGCTGGCTCGCGCTTTTCCTCAAGAAGCATTCGACGGAATAAAGGCCACCTATGGAAACTGGAGACCAGAATTTTAGGAAAAAGGCAAGCGAGTGATTTTATGTGTCTTTTATTTATTTATTTTAAGAAAAATGTTCAGGATGGATTGATTTAATTGACGCATCGCAGCCCTGAATGAGTTTCACCCCAAACAGTTTTTGATTCAAACGGATCGGTTTTAATCACTCGTCCGAATCCGTTGTTGGATTATTAGATTCATGGATGCGCGCGCGGACGGCGGCGGTTCGGTACCGTGATGGGTTCACATTTCCACCAGGAGCCTTCATTTGTAGGCTGAGTCTCTCTCAGTTGGATCGAGAACAGGCCAGATTGAGTGAAGATGAGTTTATCTTTTGCCAGAATGTTCCCTTTCCCATTTAATATTTGGAGTGTCACTCAAGTTCATCATAATTAGACTAATGAGCTGCATTGATATGTAGATGCAGGTAGAAGCGGCCTGCTGTTTGTCTTACTTCTAGTTTAATCCACGATCCCTCTCGGGCCCTCGGTCTCTCGGGCCCCTGTTTTTTTCTTATTTTGTCCCCTTAAATCCACAAATATTTATTTCCTATACATCAAGAGGAAAGGGGGCTCCCCTTTCGTGGAATGCGGCAACATGGGTGTGTTTGAGCGCGGTGTCCAGATGCTGCTGACCACGGTGGGTGCCTTCGCCGCCTTCAGCCTGATGACCATTGCTGTGGGGACGGACTACTGGCTCTACTCGCGTGGGGTCTGCAAAATAAAGACTACTAACGAGAACGAGACCAGCAAGAAGAACGAGGAGGTGATGACCCATTCTGGCCTGTGGAGGACCTGCTGTCTGGAAGGTAGGAGCTCCAAGAGAAGTTCTGAAGAACCTTTATGCAGCTCTTCATAATTCATAATGACGGTGAAAGCATCACGACAGTCATCCGTATGACTCGTGTGCTGTATTCCAAGTCATACGATATAGTTTTGTATGAGGAACAGGTCCAGATTTAAGCCATTATTCACTGAAAATCTCCAGAAGATTTGGAATATTAAAAATAAAGTTCCCATGGATGATGGTTCCATGATGATCCATTTCCACTGCACTAAAGGTACATTATAGTGGAAAACGTTTCTTTAGATGATGTTCTTCACATTAAGAAAAAAGTGGATCACTAAAAGGTTCTTCTGTGGCATCACTGACTTTTATTTTTAAGAGTGAAGCGCACACGACATGTGGACTACATTTGTGATGCTTTTTAACATCACGATGAAGAGCTGCATTAAGATTCTTCCAAATCTCATCTTTGTATTTCCATGGAAAAAACGACAGCATACATTCTGTCCACATACACGCAAACACGCTTCAAGATGTTCCTCCTGTTTGAGCCCCATTGACAGCTGACTGTGTGACTCTGGAGCAGCAGGATGAATGAGTTTCTGATTTAGTTTGGTTCGGGTCAGATCCAGCGTTTGCTGTGTTGAGAGTCTGACCCTTGACCGTATTAAATCAATTTTATTTTCCCGTAGACTGAACGCCTGCAGGATTGTATTAGAGGAATAGTTGACCCAATAAATAAACATTTGCTAAAAATCTGCTCACCCTCAGGCCATCCAAGATTAGGATGAGTTTGTTTCTTCATCAGGTTTGTAGAAATGTAGCACTGCATCAGTGTCTCAGCAATGGATGCTCTGCAGTGAATGGGTGCCGTCAGAATGAGAGTCCAAACAGCTGATAAAAACATCACAATAATCCACAGCACTCCAGTCCATCAGTTAACATCTGGAGAAGACAAAAGCTGAAACAAACCCAGCATTAAGACGTTTTTAACTAAAATACCATAGAGTCCATAATCCACAATAACTCTTCCTCCAGTGAAAAGGTGTTCTGGTGTGAATCAGGAGAGAAATCTGTACTAGCTGCTGCCTGTCTGTCAGGAAGCTGGTGATCCACTGACAGATAGAGCTAGAAACAGAGAGCTGGGTTAGTTTGGTCTGGAGGAGTGATGGGATGATGGTGTTGAATGCGGAGCTGAAGTCAACGAACAGGATCCTCACATAAGTCCCTGATTTGTCCAGATGCTGCAGGATGAAGTGCTGTCCCATGTTCACTGCATTATCCACAGACCTGTTTGCTCGGTAAGCAAACTGCAGGGGGTCCAGCAAGGGTCCAATGATGTCCTTCAGATAAGCCAACACCAGTCTCTCAAACGACTTCATGACCACAGATGTTGAGACATGGACAGAACGGGTGTGGGGTGTGAGACAGGGTTTTTCAAACCTGCAATAGTACTCATTCAAATCGTTGGCCAGTTGTGATTCAACACAGTGCTGGGGGATGCTGTCTTGAAATTGGTAATGTCTTTCAGTCCTTTTCACACTGAAGCGCAGGGTCATTGGCTGAAAACTGGATTCTCAGCTTTTTGGAGTAGTTGCTAATATTTAGATCGGTGGCACCTGCTTCAAAAACACTCCAGTCAGTGCAGTCGAAGCAGGTTTGTAAATCCCGCTCTGCTTCAGTAGTCCATCTTTTTACATTCCTGATTTCAGTTTCTGCCTGTAGGTCGGTATAAGATGAACCAGGCAGGGATCAGAGAGCCCCAAAGCTGCCCATGAAACAGAGTGATATTCATCCTTTATTGTTGTGTAGCATGGGTCCAGTATATTACTGTCTCTGGTGGGAAATGTAACATGCTGTCTGTATTTTTTGCAGTTCACTGGAGAGATTTGCTTTATTAAAGTCCCCGACAATGATTAGAACAGAGTGATTTGATCAGCCAGTTGTTGTGCGCTTGCGGTGGAATGTAAACACTATGAGAATGAACGAGGAAAATTCCCGCAGTGAATAGAATGGCTTACAGTTGATGAAAAGTGTTTAGATCAGGACAGCACATCTTCTTTAACGCTGTACACCAGCTTTCGTTGATGTAGAAGCATGTCCCACCGTCACGTGATCTCCATGTTGATGCTGCCAAATGTTCAGTATTATTAAAGGCTTGATTTCAACACTGATGGCTTTACAGCAGCTAATAACAGAACGATCTGAGTTATGCAGCTGCTGTTGGCATCAGTCGTTCCCCAGGCAGGATTCCCTTTGTTTTAGTTGTGAAGCCTGTCCTAACATCAACCTTAAACTCGCATACAGGGCATCATTAGACAAACCAAACTCTAAAATATGATCCAGCGTCCATCTGAAAGTGCACACAAATTCATCAGCTTTTATTTTTCATGTTCTGTTGTGCATAACAGTTCCTGATGACTATTTCTGTGGCACTCCTATGGAGGGAGGATCAATGGTCTGTCTGGAGGGCAGCAGGATCAGCATTTGATGGCCTGTTATGTCACTGTCCAGACAGCGGTCACCTGTCATAAATGTGGCTCTGCATCAGAAATGTGTAAGGATGCTTCTGTATTTGAGTCCTTTAGAACAGTGGTTCTCTTATCTGACGGACTCGGTTCAGTTCATGGATCTCCCTCCTAACGAGCTGATGATCTGAATCCGGGACTGGAATTTCCTTCAGCAGCTCAGTCTGTGTCCTCTGCTGATTCACAGGTGTGTTTTGTCCACAGAAATGCTTTATTCAGAGCTGTAAGATTATATGACTGGTGGTTTTCCCATCAGATATTTTCATGATTGATTTTATTGATTAGTTGTCTTAATATCAGAATGTTGTTGCACATGTAAACAGTCACGTATGCGTGGGATTTAGTGCTGCTCTTCGTTTGATCTCTTCTGTGTTTCTGGGTCTGTAAACATTTATTTTCCTGAGAGAGCAGATTAAAATGAGCTTGTCCACACTGGTGTCAGAGGAGAGAGAGTGTCTGTGAGCTAAAGATTCAAGAGATACAAGAGATACAAGAGATGATGAAATCTGTGTGTGTGTGTGAGAGAGAGAGAGAGAGAGAGAGAGAGAGAGAGAGTGTGTGTGTGTGTGTGTGTGTGTGTGTGTGTATCTACTTAACCATATTTTGGGGACAAATTTGTACCCAAAAGTGAGCTAAACCTGACAAAATCTCCAAAAACCTCCCTTTGGTGACGTCCTCATTTGTAAAACTGGTATAAAAATAAAGTAAACAAAGTTTTTTTTAAATTGTAAAAATGCAGAAAGTCTCCTGTGAGGGGTAGGTTTAGGGGTAGGGTTGGTGTAGGGCAATAACACATACAGTTTGTACAGTATAAAAACCATTACACCTATGGAATGTCCCCATTTAGATAGCTAAGTAAACGTGTGTGTGTGTGTGTGTGTGTGTTTCCCTCAGACTCTCATACAGTTATTACAGTCAATCCATCAAAGTTAGACTTTTCATCTGGGCTGGCAGAAGGATGAGACAGGTGCTGATGATACAGGTGATGATGCAGGTTTATTAGAGTGAGACAGAGCTGCTGTAGGGGACGGTACTGAGATGTTTCCAGCTCCACTGAGAACATTTCACACCCGCTGAAAGGTGATGACAGTCCGCAGCGTAACACGCAGAGCCAGTGTGTGTGTGTGTGTGTGTGTTTTTTGTGTGATGATGGTGAGATGGGATGATGGTCTGCTGCTCAGAGCTGCTGCTGCTCTTTAAAATCTTTAATTAGGTCACTTATTTCTATAAATATTTCACTGCAGTTTATATAGGTCAAACCTCTGAAATGCCCTGCGCTCTTCATCCTCTCCTCCTCATCGATGCAGAATGAAAGAGACAAAGACTGTGTACTATTCAGCTGCATGAACGACACACACATGCGTTATATCGAGCACACACTACACAGTTTTACCGTTTCAGAATAAAGAGAAGATGATTGTGATTAGGTTTTGTCAGATATTCATCACTTCTGAGGCCTGATGTGTTCCTGAACTGAAGCTGAGTGATGTCATGTGACTGACAGACAGGAAGTGGTGACCTCATGCTGTGATGTCATCAGTCAATCAATCATTATGACACACACACACTAGACGTCTCTTGATTAGAGGTCAGAGTCACGTAATACGTGTGTGTGAGTGCGTGTCTGTGTGAGTGTGTGAGTGAGTGTGTGTGTGTGTGTGTGTGTAAGTGAGTGAGTGAGTGTGTGTGTGTGTGTGAGTGAGTGAGTGTGTGTGTGAGTGCGTGTCTGTGTGAGTGTGTGAGTGAGTGAGTGAGTGTGTGTGTGTGTGTGTGTGTGAGTGCGTGTCTGTGTGAGTGAGTGAGTGTGTGTGTGTGTGTGTGTGTGTGTGTGAGAGTGAGTGAGTGAGTGTGTGTGTGTGAGTGTGTGTGTGTGTGACTGTTTATCTCTTTTCCTCCCAATGAGTGGATCAAAGTATCCGTTATGATAGTTTTGTTTTTTTGTTCATAATTTATTTCTGTTTCTATAGTATTTATATATTTTTTAATTATTTTAATACTTTTAACTTTAGTTTGTTTCGGTTTTAGTCATTTTGTTAATTTTCTAACATTAAAATATTTGGATCAGATGTCTCATGACTGCGTGTGGTGAGTGAGTGTGTGTGTGTGAGTGTGTGTGTGTGTGACTGTTTATCTCTTTTCCTCCCAATGAGTGGATCAAAGTATCCGTTATGATAGTTTTGTTTTTTTGTTCATAATTTATTTCTGTTTCTATAGTATTTATATATTTTTTTATTATTTTAATACTTTTAACTTTAGTTTGTTTCGGTTTTAGTCATTTTGTTAATTTTCTAACATTAAAATATTTGGATCAGATGTCTCATGACTGCGTGTGTGTGTGTGTGTGTGTGTGTGTGTGTGTGTTTCAGGTGCGGTTCGGGCCTCCAGTATTTTCCCCATCCTCAGTGTCATCCTGCTGTTCGTGGGTGGCCTCTGTGTCGCCGCCAGCGAGTTCGACAAGTCTCGACACAACATCATCCTCAGCGCAGGAATCTTCTTCGTATCCGCAGGTGAGTGAGCTTCAGCAGCTTCAAGTGTGTATCACAGCTAATTCACCTGATTCCATCTGGCTTCAGTCGCGCTGCTAACAGCTCAGTTTGTGCTGCTGTATCTGTTCGTTCAGCTTTGAGGAAAAGAAGTTAACGCTATAGATTTCTGAGATTTCAACGTAACATCGTAAACGCACACATTACAGTGATGGTGATGCACAAACTACAGCACTCACACATAGTGGCTTCAGTAGGGTCACACTCATTACAGTCTAATGTGAACACAAAAAAAAGTTAAACGGTCCTGAAAAAAATATTCACACTTGTACTGTTCGCAGTGAAAACTTTGGAAATGAACAGGAAGCGAATTTCATCTAGTGGAAACGTTTTGTACTGCACCCAAATAAAACCTTACTGAAAGCTCATTTTTAGAGATATCAACCTCAAATTTGGAACACGAGTTGTTTTGATCAGGGATGGCCAACGTCGCTCCTGGAGAGCCACAGTCCTGCAGAGCTTTGCTCCAACCTTGATTAAAACTCACCTGCCTTGTAGCTTTCTAGTAACCCTTAGACCCTGATAGAGGCTTAGGGCCAGATTTACTAACAGCTTGCTCCAGCGCAAACCCTCTTTTGGCATACTGTTGAGATTTACTAAAGAGGCGCAGTACAAAAAATTAGCAATGAAGAGACCTGGATACAGTCATATTTGCAGCTGATCTTATTGCATATGCATTTGTAGGAGTTTACCTTTCAGATGCAACATTTATGGGAGGAGAGCATTTATGATTTATTAAGGTCTGCGCTAGTCAATTTACTGGCATTTACGACATTATTTACCGGCCAAAATAGCAAAGACGCTAATCTTGTGCTGCTCTGTTGTCATTATGGAACTGATCCGGCTGCGTCTGTGTTCTTTAATTCGCACATTGTCAGCAGAACTTTATTTCTCCATTGCGCTCTCACGCTAATTTGCCTAAATCTATTTCTTCAGCTCTGATGTTGAACACACACGTGTGTGATTGATGTTCTCTGTGTGTGTGTGTTGATCCTCAGGTCTGAGTAACATCATCGGGATAATCGTGTACATATCAGCCAACGCGGGTGACCCGTCCAAGAGCGACTCGAAGAAGAACAGCTACTCGTACGGCTGGAGCTTTTACTTCAGCGCGCTGTCCTTCATCATGGCGGAGATGGTGGGCGTTCTGGCCGTTCACATGTTCATCGACCGGCACCGGGAGCTACGCGTGGCTCGCGCTCAGACCGGCGGAGGAGGAGACTATCTGCAGGGATCCGCCATCAGCAGAATCCCAAGCTACCGCTACCGTTACCGGCGCAGCTCGCGCTCCTCCAGCCGCTCCACCGAGCCCTCGCACTCACGCGACGCTTCACCCGTGGGACTCAAGGCGTTCGGAGCGCTGCCCTCCACCGATATCTCCATGTA